GTGTTCTCATCTCTGCCAGGTGAATCCCTACCCTTTAAAATCCGGATCACTTTGCTGGGCTCTCGGGTTTGGAGGAAAAGCTTTCTGAGTTGAGCTCTCCCTGCGACCCATGGGCTGAGAAAAGCCAGTCCAAGACACCCTTGTGCTTTGCCCCTTATCTGCCTTACAGCAGGAAGTGTTCTTTCTGTCTCCCTGCCTCTCTCCTGCTCCATCCATCACTGCCTTAACCAACCAGAAATGAAAATGGCAGTTTAAATTCTCCCAAACCTTTCAAACATTTACCGGAACCAAACACCGGCTCTTCCAGTGCTTCTCTTGCAAACGACCTTCTCTGTCCTCCCCTCACCTGCTGCTTCCTCCCGCTCCTGAGCATCCCCATGTTTATCTCAGTGTTTGCATGCTGATAACAGACATAGATTTCTGTGAGTCCTGCACCTGCCCAGACGGCGGGGACAATAATAGCAGCACCGTCGGGACCAATATATATTGGTCTTAGGAGTGTGTCCAATAATGTCTGGGTCAGGGAGCCTTTAACTGCAGTGTCAGGGAATTTAGTCAGCTGTCATCGCTTCTTAATTAAAAATAGCTGAGATTCACTTACATTCCTCTGCTGTGTGTTAGCTCATTTGTCATCTTGTCCTCTGCTCTCCTGCAAACCCCCTGGACACCTTCAGAACCAGGCAGAGGGTGGAAATTCCTGCAGCAGGTAAGAAGACGAGGAGCAGAGAGTGGATAAGCAGAGCCACGAGCTGCTTTTTGGGTCAGGAGTTCAGCAGGATCCTCGTCCCCTTTAGGATACATAACCCCTCAGTATGAAATGTTCTGTATGTATTTTATATATATATATATATATATATATATATATATATATAAACCCAGGCTGTGCACAGGCACGTGTCAGGCAATAAATCAAGCAGTAACTGTCCTGGGGTTACAGGCAACTTTCCTTGTGGACAAACCAACTTGCATTTTTCCATCTTGAGTTTCCAGCATCTTCCTCTGGCCCCGGTGCTCCCAAAGGCAGAATGCTTTTTCAGTCAGACCTTCTCCATGCACATGAGTGATTGGATTCCTAATTCCATGCTAAATGGAATTTAGTGGTATCTGTGATTGCTATCACCTTCCAGTAGGTTTCACTAATTTATTTGTGCTATTCCTAAGGGGACAGGGAGATGGGAGGTTACACAGAGGTTCAGGAGCTGCAGAGGGAAATAAATCACATGCTGTAATATCATTACTGAAAGAAAATGCACCCCCCTCCCCCTGCCAAGAAAAAAAAAAGGGGATTTTTTTGTGATTCTCACTAATGCTCAGAGCCAGGGGACAGTTTTGCATAGTGAGAATTTTTCTGGCTTCCTTTTTGCAAGTAAATCAGAGGTGGAAGAGCATTAGACTGACTGACTTCCTGAACTGGAAGTTGCATCCGGATTTCCATGTTTAATTGGCTGGGACTGACCTATCTTCCATGAGTTTTGCTCGTCCATTTTCGAACCTGTTTATATGTTTAGTCTCCACAGCCTTGGGTGGTGATGAATCCCACCATTAAACCACATATTGTTTGAAAAGGTCCATCCAGGATGTCCTGTACAACACCAGGAACCTGTGCAGGGAGGGAAGGGGTGGCTCTTGCCAGGGCTGTGGATCAGCTCAGCCCAAATTGGTGATAATTCCTCCTGACACCACTCAGGAAGGGAAGAAGCACCAAAACTCCAGTGCTTCACCACCCAGCTTGGGCTGGGTGAGCAACTGGGACCAGTGTGAGCTCCCACACGGGAGCACTCCCACTACTGAATGGGGATTTTTCTGGCCATACAGTTATTTCCCTCAGGAATGTGTTCCTGCTGACCTGACTGAAGATCCAGTGATACTTATTGATGTTCTAAAAAATGTTTTATTTCCTGTAGAGGGAAAATTCACATGCAGCTCATGGGATAGGCCTGCTTTAATTTCATATATTATCTTCAATCTGGTTATTTATTTTTTTTTCTGATTCCAGTTCAAGAAAGTTGTAGAACAGTTTAGAGGGATAAACAGGGAAGTGAACTGATTTGTCTTGATTTTGTTGGGGGATTTTGTGTTATTTTGAGGTGTACTAGAACAGGAAATCAGAAGCAACAGATAAAAGTTCCTCTGAACCCCAGGGCATCAAACTAAGGACAGAGCCCCACGTTAGCTGAGACATTTTCACTGCAGATTTTTTTTTTTTAAAACTAATTAAGCTCTGATGACTTCAGCTGTATTTTCAGCCCCTGATTAAGGCCATGATACTAATTAAACTCTTGAATTATTAAAAATGCAAATAGTCAGACCTGTGTGCAACAGCAGACTTGCTTTTCCACGCTCCAGGACAGCAGTGGGAATATTTGACAGAGTCCCTTGTGGTCACAAGTTTTTCTTTTCCCTTTTTTTTTTTCCTGTTTTTTTTTTTTTTTTTAAATGGCTGCTCTCCACTTGATGCAGAACTGAAAAAAAGCCAGCTGCTGGGGTGTAAATGTCTCAGCTGCCTCGCAGCTACACAAGGCAGTTTGATTAAAACACAGCAAAGTTTTGGAAGGAGCTCGGGGTTTCTTGACATCCCCCCAGTGGCATTTTGGCTGGATGGGCTGTTGGGATTGAAATGCCATCCAGTCCTTAGAGGGTGAGTTTGCTTTCAGCAGCACAGCTCTCGGAGCTGCCCTTCAGCTCCCTACTTTGTTGTCACAGTTCAAGATGTGAGCCGTGATGAATTATTTAACCCTCCAGTTGTCCTCTCAGATCCTGCCTCTGGCATCCCCTGTGACACACAGGCACTTCCAGAGAGGTGTCCCCCCTCCCCAGGAGGGCTGAGTGTGGCCTTTGCCTCAACCCAGGTGAGTTTTGGTCGTGGCAAATTGAACAGGAGGGGATCTGAAGGACTTTTTTGATCTCTTGGCTGTCGACATCTGAGCAGGCACCAAGCCCCTCTTCTGAGTAACAGCCCCTCTTGTGCACAAACACATCTTCTGAGGGAGCAGTTTGCAACCAGAAGCAGGGCTCATCCCCAGAAGTACAATTAGCTGGTCTGTAGCTACACTGGAGTTCTGTGGGTTGGGTGAGCAAGAATTGCCCCTCACTGCCTCACCACTGTCCCCATGTGCTCGGATCAGGGCAGTTTCTGGGGTTATCATAAAGGGTTTGCACAACCCCAGAGCTCCAGTGATACCCTGAGTGCCATTTCTGCACCTCTGCTCTCCCCTGGGCAGCGTTTTGGGTGTGCAGCCCTCCTGGTTGAGGCAGTGGCCCGTGGGGCTCGTATCTGTCCCCTCTTGTAGCCCTTTTGCCATTCTGGAGGCTCTGCTGGATCTGGCAGCGTGTGCAGCCAGTGCCAGCTGGGACATTGGAGGGATATGCCAGGAGGAAATCTAGTTATAACTCGCCCAGAGGGAACTTTCTTCCTCGTGCTGAGTTCTTTCTGTTCATCAGAAAGACACAAATAAAAGAAGGTGCACGAGGCACTATTCAAATGCAGCAAGTGTACGTCCTATTCAATAACCTGGAACCCTCGCTGGTGTGAAGTGACAACAATTTATTGGAGTCACTTATCAGATAAAAACATGACCCAGTGTGTGCAGTTGAGCCCAGGCAATGGCAGGTGTGATGGTAAAGATATGTCTTTTTTTTTTTTGCTTCCCCTCTCGACTGTCCTTCTGGTGTGTTACAACAAAGAAATAAGTGGGCATTACTTTACCTATGACAACTGATTTTTTTTCATCCTCCTGCTCTAATGGGCTGCAGGTGTTTCACAGCCAGCCCAGACTAATCAGGACAGACACTCTGGCCACGAGCCAAAATTATAAAACTGTCCAGGGAGACAAGAAAAGAAAAGACAAGGGCTGGGGTGAGGGGGTGGAAAAGGAAAAAAAACAAAACCAGAAAGCGAGGGAGTCACTCCATGCTGAGATTTTGCACTTTTGTGTCTCCTGAAGTGAATGCATCAGTCAGGAATCAAAGGTTTGAAAAGTCATTCAGCCCCTCCAAGTGAGAAGGGGAACCATCTGCCCTCCAGGATGGGGCTTCTCCTGCCAGTGGCACCAGAGCAGACCTGGAGGATCTCCATCCACCAGAGTTACACCCAGCTCACCCAGGATCTCACATCCTGGCCTGGTGGGGGCATCTTCTGCCAGAATAATGTTTGGGACCCGGCCCTGGAGTGTTGTGCCACCACAGTGACAGGCTCCTCTGTTCCAGGAATCACTGTGGGGTTGTCCAGTGTTAATTAATTAATCCTTTTTCGGCAAAATGTGAGCTCGGTGGAAACAACAAAGACAAGACAACTCATTCAGAGCTGCAGCCTCTCACCCTCTGAGATTTTACAGTGTGTGCTGCCCTCAAGTCCTGCAACAAATCCCTTGTGTTTCCTGGAAGTTGGAGCAGAGATGGGAAGTCAGAGGGAAGGAAGGATGTGCTGTGTGAGAATGGGAGATACCCCTGTGTCCTCACAGCTTTGCAGATGGTGCTGCTCGGGCAGGCTGGGTTGGGATGCAGGATTTTTGGGTGTGAGCCAAAGAGCAGCCAGGCTAAGGGAGCACAAGGGAAAAGCTGGCTCTGAGGCACTGGGCTGGCTCCCAGCATTTGGCTTGACTTGCCCTGAGGCATTTTAGCTGATGGGCAGAGATGAACCCTCCCAGGTGCCTCACAGGGGTGATTTTGTGAGTGCCTTGGGGATGTCCCTCACCTTGAACTTCCCCAAGCAGGTGAGATGTGTCCAAACCTAAAGGCTTGTATGTCCATGGCAGCACTCTGGTTTTGGGGTGCAAACATCAGACTAATGAACACATTCTGAGGTAAATTTACTTCACTGGATTCAATATGACAGATCCCAACCACAAGTATCTTATCCAGATTTGTTTGGAGCCAGGATTTGGTCCAGGCCAAATGTTTTGTTCTGTTTGTTTATCTAAGACATGGGTTTGGATGCTTAGCAAGAAAAAAGAAACCCTCAGCAAACTATAACTGATGGAAGTTAATTATTTTCATTTCAGATCTCCTTCTGGCAGCTGGATGAGAAGGGAATGCCATGGCAAAGGAGGGATTACCAAGTTGTATCCAGAGGGAACAGCAGTGCTGTGTGTTACTCATATCACCACTGCAACAGGTCAGTGCCTTCTCCCTGGAGTCACTGTCAGGGCTCTGTGAGGAGCATCAGACCCTGCAGATGCTTTTAAAGGTGATCAAAATGGCACAATTGTAATTCAGAAAGGAACGACACAGTCGTGAGGCTTAAGTAATTTAAAAAAAGTGGTATCAGATCCATTTTTTTTCTTATAGGGAGGTGAAAAGGAGTTTCAGAAAGTGCTTTGTAATCAGGCAGGCTGAGTCAGTTTGGAATTTTCTGCTTTTTTGCATGGCCTTTGGGTTTTTGCATTTTATAATTTGCTTGGAAAAGTCTGTGAGTTCTGGGTTGTTGTTTGCAAAGTGCTGAGAACGCCGTGACATCTCTGAAAATACAAACAGTAACAGTGGCAGTGAACAGCAGCTTTATCAAAACGTTTTGTGATGGCTCCAGAAATCCAGGGATTGTTTTTCTCTCTGGTTCACCTCTTGAAGAATCCCGTGCTTGGATTTCTGACCTGGGATGACAGTAAAGCACAGCCGGGTCTCTGTGTGGGGTGTCCTGGTTTGGGAGCTGTTGTGGAGATGGGACACAAAACCACATGAATGTTGGGTGACAGGGACATGACTTCATTTTCTTTTCTTCTCAAGCTTATCTGAGGGGAGGAAACTGTAGAGCTTATCTTTTCCTGAGTGGAAGAACTGATCTCAAGTGCATGTGTTTAAAGCTGCAGCAGCATGAGCCAGGTTAACTTGACTAAACCACAAAATCTGATTGAGCCTAATTAGAACCCAGGATGACTCCCAGCACTTAAAGGTTTCTTTCAAGATTATGATGAGCTGACAAAACATATTAGTGAGAGGTGGAATTGGTATGAGCCCTGTTTGGCATTTGACTACTTAGTGGCAGCAACAAGAGGCCCTGTGCAGAGATCAGAACCCTGTGTGTGTGAGCCTGGATTGATTCACCCACCTACTTTTGGTGTTAACATAAGTACCTGAATTAATGGCACTCAGATTTGATGGAATGGACTGAATTTAGAGGGTGGGGAGGCCCTGGCACAGGTTGCCCAGAGAAGCTGTGGCTGCTCCATCCCTGGAAGTGTCCAAGGCCAGGTTGGACAGGGTTTGGAGCAACCTGGGCTAGTGGAAGGTGTCCCTGCCCATGGCAGAGGGCTTGGAACAAGATGATCTTTAAGGTTCCTACCAACCCAAACCACTTTAGGATTCTGTGATCCCACATGATCTGCCGTGGAGCTCAAGAAAACTGTGCTCTCAACAAGGGCTCTCAGTGAATTCCTGCCCTTGCTGGGAGGAATGCAAGCCCAGGGGAGGTGTCCACTCAGCCCCCTGAGACAATGCATGGCCTAAGTGCACTGCAAAGGAGATCAGCAGGTTCTCAGAAATGATTTGCAGAGGAGAGGCATTGCAGTGTGCCTGCTCTTCAGTGCTGCTGGGTTGTTTGTGAGCACGGGTGAAGATTTAAAGAGCCGAAGGAGGGCACTGGAGTAGTTTTATACATTTATTTTCCAGGATTTGTTTTGCTTTGAGGCAGTGCTCTCTCATTACCATCAGCGTGGATCCCTGTGCAATCCATCCTGCCCAGCCTGGATCCCTCTTTTATCCATCCTGCACCCACCTGAATCCCTGTGCTATCCATCCTACACCAGCCTGGATCCCCCTCTTATCCATCCTGACTGGCCTGGATCCCCCTTTTATCCATCCTGCACTATCCTGGGTCCCTGTGCTGTCCATCCTGCACTGGCCTGGATCCTTGTGCTATCCATCCTACACCAGCCTGGATCCCCCTTTTATCCATCCT